AATAATAATAATAATAATAATAATAATAATAATAATAATAATAATAATAATAATAATAATAATAATAATAATAATAATAATAATAATAATAATAATAATAATAATAATAATAATAATAATAATAATAATAATAATAATAATAATAATAATAATAATAATAATAATAATAATAATAATAATAATAATAATAATAATAATAATAATAATAATAATAATAATAATAATAATAATAATAATAGTAAATCACTAATGTTAATGATCAAAAGATAATTAAGAGAGGGAGGGTGAGATAGAAGTTACCTAAGTTGAGTTGGGTTGGACAATGAAGGCTAGTTGTGAGAGACAAGGCGGTTGAAGAGTTGTTTACGTGAAATGGGCTCGGGCAAGAGTGCTGCATATAGTCGGCAAGTGTGGACTTTGGTTCAAGGATTTGGACAGGGAAGAGGAGAAGGCAGAGAGGGGCGATGGCTGGTTCGGGAAGATGGCAGCTTTGGAGGCCAGAAGCTTCGGTTCTACAATAGGGGAGAAGAAATGGAGTTCGGCACAGTGAGTGCTTCTGTGAGGGAAATCGAGCTTTGTATGTGAGGGAGATCTCGGCTATTAAACATAATAATTTGGAGACACCTCTCATTAGAATGTTGAGCTATTGATGGAAAATGGATGCATAAATTGATAGAAACCTTGGTTGAAATTCAATATAAGAAGAAAACTATGAAGAAGAACACACCAGAACATTTTTTATTGGAATATTTATGAAGAAAAGTATAAGATATAGTTGGATTTTCAATTGGAGAGGAAGATCCTTCTCTTTAGGTAACAAAAAAAAGATTGGTTTCATAGATTACATTAATAGTGTATGGCATCGTAATACAATTGTAGATTTTGCTTCGCTGATCGATCAGTTTTAGAAATTATTTGTCTGGTTTAATGTAATTGCTAATGAATAACTTCTTGGTGTATAAGTACATCTAAGATTTATATATATTTATTTATTGCTAAGAAATATAAATTAAGCTTACAAAAATAATTTTATTTTTATTCATATAATGACTGAAAATAGAATAAGGAATATTTTTGGATATTTTAACCATTGAAATGATAAAACTTAATTGGAAAATTTTGTACAATGCTACCTAATTAAATTTTAGACATGATGACTCTCTATCATTAAATTTATTTTTTCTAAAAATGTTACACAAATTTTTGTGACAGTCAATACTTGCCTTTTATTTATTGCCTTCTCACCCATCACTCATGCAAACTCATGCAAACATGCATGCTTGTATTTATATATATCTATCTAAAGAGAAAGCTTGAGATTGAGCTTCTTTCCAATGACCAAACAGAACTTGTCAGCTATCCCTAAAAGCCCACGTCTCAACAAGATATATAGTCCGTGGTGAAGTAATTCCGACGATGAAATTCTTTGTAGTTTGTGCCCTTAAGCACGGATGCTTCACTCGAATCCGACCTCATAAGATAAAGCAAATAATCACACCCATTCCTGTCATAAACCGTTACCTCAAGACTCTCATGCTCCCTTTTCTGTTTTTTTTTTTTTGGGACATTTAGGCCATTTAAGGCAAACTCACACACACAACGCATACACATGGACTCGAACCTTGGACCTCTTAGTTGGAAGCCTAAGCTCTCAACAAATCGGCCAAGGGGAGTTCTGTTCCCTTTTCTGTTTCCTCTCAAATGCTTGTCCTTCTCTGACATATTTTCCTTGCTCATTACTGATTAGAATATTTGTCATTGCAATCTCCTTTATTGTAATCTTCGACTTTATTTTTTCTTCAATAATCTTCTTGCTTATCATGAATCGTTTAAGCCAATCACTAACGTTAGAAACAATATATTTATGACCGAAATCAGCGGTCACTAACTTCGACTTTATTTTTTCTGACATTAGCGAGCGACTTAGCCGATTAATGATAAGTAAGCAGATTGTTAAAGAAAAAATAAAACCAAAGATGACGTTAGAGGAGATTGCATTGGCGAATATTGTGATCAATAGTGAGCGAGGGCAATGTGTCGAAGAAGGACAAAGATGGGGGAGGAAACGGGGGGAAGAGAACATGAGGGCCTTGAGATGACTGTTTATGACAAAAATGGGAGGGATAATTTCCTTTATCTCACGAGGTCGGATTTGAGTGAAACATCTGTGCTTAAGGGCGCAAACTACAAAGAGCTTCACCGTTGAAGTTAATTTTCCACCGGCAACCTTGTTGAAATGTGGGTTTTTAGGGATGGATCTGACAAATTGTGTTTTGTGAATGGGAAGAAGCTTGATCTCAAGCTTTCTCTTTATATATATATATATATATAAACATCTGTGCTTAAGGGCGCAAACTACAAAGAGCTTCACCGTTGAAGTTAATTTTCCACCGGCAACCTTGTTGAAATGTGGGTTTTTAGGGATGGAGCTGGCAAATTGTGTTTTGTGAATGGGAAGAAGCTTGATCTCAAGCTTTCTCTTTAGATATATATATATATATATATATATATATATATGAGTTTGCATGAGTGATGGATCTGAAGGCAATAGACAAAAGACAAGCATAGAATGTTTACA